AACGGATGAAAGTAGAGATGTTAAAACTCTTCATATGTACCTGGCATGTGTATGTACTATTGAAACGCTCTTGCACGAGCCAAACCCTTTGCATTGTCTACTCCATACCGTTGCAAAAAAAAAATAAAAAAAAAAAAAAGCCCAGGAAAAAAGGAAAGTGAAAGGTAGTGAAGATCGGAAAAAAATTGTCCAGCTGAATGCAGAATTTCAAAGGATAGCAAGAAAAGACAAGGAGACATTATGCAATGAGCAATATAAAGAGATAGAAGAAGATAACAGAATGGGAAAGTCAAGATATCTATTCTAGAAAATTGGGGAACTAATAGTTACCTTTCATGCCAAAGTGGGTGTGATAAGACAAAAATGGCAGGGACTTATCAGAAGAAGATCAGATAAAGAGGAGATACACTGAAGATCTATACAGGAAGGATCTTAACAGCAGTGATGACCTCAATAGTTGGTCCAATGAGATAGAATGAGAAATCTTGGAGAGCCAAGGCCTTAGGATGCCTTGCAGATAACAAGGCTGCAGGAGTTGATGAAATCCCAATTGAACTATTCAAAGTCTGCAAGATGATGCTGTGAAAATTCTGCTTGCCTTGCGTCAACAAATTTGGAAAACTCAACAGTGGCCAAAAGACTGGAAAAGGTCAGAGTGCTCCAGTTATCAAACAATTTTACTAATTTCACATGCCAGCAAGGTAATGCTTACAAGTTGCCCACAAGTTTGACTCAAACAATATGTGGACCGGGAATTACCAGATGTACAAACTGGGTTACGAAGAGAACGAGGCACAAGAGATCAAATTGCCAATGTACGATGGATAATAGAGAAAGCCAGAGAGTTCCAAAAAAACATCTACTTCTGTTGCATAGACTATTCTAAAGCCTTTGACTGTGTGGCTCACAACAACATATGGCAAGTTCTTAAAGAGATGGGAGTACCAGATCATCTCATCCGCCTCCTCAGGAATCTGTATGTGGACCAAGAAGCCACAGTCAAAACCGAAAATGGGAAAACAGAATGGTTCAAGATCGGGAAAGGTGTGCGACAAGGTAGTATATTGTCACCTTATTTGTTCAACTTATATGCGGAATACATAATATGTAAGACTGGGCTGGATGAATCTAAAGCTGGAATCAATATTGCTGGAAGAAATATCAACAACCTCAGATACGCGGATGATACTACTCTGATGGCTGAAAGGACCTGTTGATGAGGGTAAAAGAAGAGCGTGCAAAAGCTGGCTTGCTGCTTAACGTTAAAAAGACTAAGATCATGGCAAACCGCAATCTTAGTTCTTGGCAAATAGATGGGGAAGAAGTGGAGGCAGTGACAGATTTTATTTTCCTGGGTTCCAAGATCTCTTCAGATGGTGATTGTAGTCATGAAATGCTTCTGGGGAGGAAAGCTATGGGAAGCTTGTAAAAACTAAAGATATTAAAGATATCAACAAAGGTCAGCATAGTCAGAACTATGGTATTCCCAGTAGTAACATATGTGAGAGCTGGACTATAAAGAAGGCTGAGCGTCGTAGAATTGATGCCTTTGAACTGTGGTGTTGGCGAAAATTGCTTAGAATTCCTTGGATTGCAAGAAAATCCAATAAATCCGTACTACAGGAAATCAAGACAAACTGTTCCCTGGAAGCTATGATCATAAGAATGAAGCTCAAATATTTTGGCCATATAATGAGAAGGCAGGATTCTTTAGAGAAGACTCTGATGCTGGGAAAGATTGAAGGCACGAGTAGAAGGGGACGACAGAGACGGAAGAGGATAGATGAGGTCACTGAGGCCAGGAACATGAAGTTGTTGAAGCTCAGAGGGGCAGTGACTGACAGATGTACCTGGCATGCTATGGTCAATATGGTCACCAAGAGTCGGACACGACTGAACGACTAAACAACAACAAATACAACATATTATGTACTTAGATTAAATATATATCTCTAAGTATTTCATTTCATAAACAGTGTCTGCAAATGTTTTTTTAAACTTTATTTCAGCTTTGGGAGACTGCTTGACAACCCACAAGTCTACCTGCAGTCACTCCGAACCGGATCGCCGCTGAGGGTAAGTATGGGAAGCTGTGTTCTATGCTGCCCTGTGGCCTTCAAGCCCCCATATATTTCAGGGCACCATAGAACGCCCTGCGGCATTAAACTACATTTAACCACATACAGCACCTTACTTCTATTTAGAGTATAAGAGTTTATGCACACGTCCCCAAGATCGGCGTCCCGCTTCACAGAACGCTGGTGGGTTGGGTAAGTGGGATCAGGTCCAGACCAGGGATGGATTAAGAGCCCATTGGGCCTGGTGCAGACAATTATGATGGGCTTAATTACAGAATCTTATCGACAGAAAACAATAAAACAGTCATACCACCCAATCGTCATGTATCTGGTGGAGGTGGTGCTGGAGGGAAACTCACAGGTTATAACTATCAGAAAACACATACCCTATGCTAATCTCTCGCTTTCATCTTTCAAGTAAATCCATATCCCGTTAACAGCAGGATTTCGGTGGGTGGGGTAAAAGAATTACGTAACCAGAACCTCCCCAAGGGACAAACATGCCCAAAAAGGGGGCATGTCCGCACAAAGAATTAGATGTCAGCCTGGCTTGAATGCATGTCAGGCTGCCTGCCAATCATGCAGGATGGCCAACTAAGGGCATACTATGCAGACGGCATCCTGAACTTGGCATAAATGCGTCTAGTGATGCGCTAGCTCTACGGTTTCTAAGGATAGTCCCCTAGCACTCGCTGGTCCAGTCCTCTCCTAACCACCTTAGTAGCAGGCAGAAGCCCCTGTTTTACAGTCTGGGACAGAGAAAAAGTGTATGAAGTGAGTGTAGAAGAAAGGGAACATCCACAGCGTTAGAGAGAATGAATCAGCAAGAGAAATCACATAGAGCCCAAAGTCAGTCCCCCCCATCAATGGGCCTATTCCATAGGCATGGGCCTGGAGCTGCAGCTCCATTAGCCCCTATGTTAATCCAGGCCTGGTCCAGACATTGAATAGGCAGGTCAGCCTGGTGTGAATGCAAAAAACAGATTAAGGAAAGAGCACATACAAACAAAAAACAGAAAATTTACACCATACTCACGGACCGATATTTTCTTTTCCCGGATATATGCCACGGAAGCACTACGTATGGGTATAGCTCCTCCCCTTCTCAACTGGACAGGAAACACCTCCTAATTAATTAAAGAGACTTCTTCCCATGTCCCTTCAGTCTTAGTTCAAAGTCCCAAAATAATTTTTTTTTTAAGAAAGGGTGGGACCATAGTGCTGCCATGGCATATATCCGGGAAAAGAAAATCTCGGTGAGTATGGTGTAAATTTTCTGTTTTCCCCGGATTTATCCATGGCAGCACTATGTATGGGTTATACCCAAGCTGAAAGGTACAAAGGAGGGGGAAATAAAAAACAACCAAAAAAGCCCAAGTCAATGCAAATTAAAAGTCTTTATTGACAAATCAACTATAAGGCAGCGGAGCAGACACTTCTACCAAATTCCGTGGTAGAGAAACAAACTACGTCCAGCTGATAGTGATGAATAAATGTGTTAAAGGAGGACCATGTTGCTGCAGAACAAATGTGGTCCAGAGAAATGTTGGCTGCAGCTGCCCATGAAGAGGCCAATGATCTGGTGGAATGAGCTCGAAGACCTGGTGGAACGGGAACCCTGGAAGCTGCGTAAGCCTGACTAATGGCAGAGATTATCCATCGGCCAATAGAAGTAGAAGAATCAGCCTGACCCCTCTTGTATCCTGAAGGAATGATGAACAGATTAGAGGATTTCCTTATTCCAGAAGTACGGTTCGGGTAAACAGACAAACAACGAACTAGATCTAGACAATGCCATTTCTCTTCTTCTTCAGCTGAAGGATGAGGGAAAAAGGCTGGCAAGATGATGTCCTGATTCATATGAAATGTGGATACTACTTTAGGTTGGAATGCTGGAACCGTATGAAGAATAACTCCGTCTTCTTGTAGAATTAAAAAGGGAGATTCGCAGGAAAGTGCTCCAAGCTCTGAAATTCTTCTACCTGAGGTCAGTGCAACCAGAAGAACAGTTTTTAACGTTAGAGTTACCAGAGAAGCTTGATTGTTCTTGCCCAGGAGGTTCACTGCTTTGATCCCCTTCAAATTCTTTTCCAGCCAGGACATCAGGGGAGTCAAAACCTTCATTAAAAGTTTGCTCTTTGTACCCCCTTGGTGGTTGATGTATGCTACCGTGGAAGTATTGTCTATCCTTACTATTAGCCAAATTTGCTTCAGTGAAGATTAAGGAGGAGACAATCCCTTTTGTACGAGAGGATGAAGATATCGTCAAGATAATAGAATATTGAAAATCCTTCCATACGGATGTGAGCTATTAAAGAAACAAGGATCTTTGAGAAAGTTCTGGGAGCTGTGCTCAAACCAAAGGGGAGAGCCCAAACGGAAGTGCCGGAAAGAGAATGCTCGCAATTGGCGTGCATTCCAAAAAACGGAACGTGAAACACAGAGGACACCTATCTGGAAAAGAAGGTAAAGGGGAAAAAAAGCAAAGAAAAGCCCCCACCTGTGTGCATCTGTGTGTATTTGTATGAATCCAAGTGTGTGTATGTCAATGTGTATCTGAATGTGTGACAGTGTCCATATCTGTGTGTCAAGGCGTGTGCAAGAGTCCGTGTGTTAATAGTAAAAAAATACGTTTAATAGTAATAAAATATCACATCATTGTTAATACATGTTTTGGGGTGAGCGTGCATGTGTGTGTGTGTATGCGCATGTGTGTGTATAGAGGTATGCGCAGGGGGTGTGCAGTTGCTGGTAAAGCCACCTCCCTAAAGTGAGCTTTTGCATATTATGATGTCTGTATATGTTAACCCTCCCCCCCCCTCCAAAAAAGTGAGTACTAGTTTATTTAGACATAACAGCCATTACTAAATATAATTTTAAAAATAAATACTGCTTGCCTAAAGACTTATTTTATAGTTTGGTCTCTACATCAAGCTAACTACGTGATTTGAATCTTAAATCGTTTATAATCTGTTCTGGATCCGCCCTATCTGAATAACTCCATAGCCCGAGCATATGGGATATCAGCATTAACTAAGTTAGAAATGTGTCCCACACATAGAGGGTTAAATCAGCTGTGTTCCAGCTATAACACATGATGAACACGGTTTGATCTGGAAAAAAAATGGCGCTGAAAACATCAGTGTGATGTCGGGAAATGTAGTTTTGATCTACCCTGACTCCAACCGCCGCCTATGAAACGAACAATACAAATCCCATAATGCACGCGGTCGGAGCATAAGGTGCTGTGTGTTCGGCCAAGGAATGGCTGAAGGTGTAGATGAGAACATTCCGGTGTTCGAGCTCACTGACACCAACACCAAGGTGATCCACGTGGGCTCGTTCGGGAACCTGTGGAGGGAGCGGCTGACCAGCCATGATGTGAGTCTGGCTGAGGAACCCACCCAAAACCTCGCGACAGATGCCGAGCTTGCTGCAGACCTGGGTTGTACAGAAGAGACAGCAGCAGAGCTCAAACTACTGTGTAGGTAATGAGCCAGAGCATCCCAGTAGAACACTCACTGTATGAAAGGATAGTCCATCCTAACCGCCTTTCTTAAAGGGACAACCCACCTTTACAGCATTTTTTTAAAGGAACACTATAGTCCCATAAAGCAGTTTTAGTGTATAGATCATGGGTCGTCAACCTGGTCCCTACCGCCCACTAGTGTGCGTTTAAGGATTCCAGGTGGGCGGTAGGGAGTTCGGCTGCACAACAAGCTGAATCCTCCTTCCATTGAGAGAGTGGGCGGGCGCAAGTGCACAAACGTTCATGAACGCGTACATATGCGCGCAAACTCGTGAGAACAAGAGAATGTGTGCATTTGCGTGTGTGCCAACATGAGTGTAACACGTGGGAAGAGGAAGGGGAGGAGTGGGAGCTGATGCACGATAGCAGGGACAGGAAGAAGCAGAGCAGAACACTTGTAAAATAGGAGAAAGAAAAGTTATAGGCACGAGAAGGAGAGAATTGTTGTTGCTAATAATAATAATAATAATAATAAGTGGGCTAACTAGCTCAGCCTTACTTTTGGACATTGCCATAAGGAAGGTAAAAGAAAAGCATTAAAGGAGATAAAAAGGAAAAGATCGAAGAAAAATAGAAAAATGGGGATAAAATAAAGCAGGAGAGAAAGCTGTACTTAGAGTGGCTCATGTGTTGGCAAGTTAAGATTTTTTTTATCTTATAAAATAAGAGAGAAGAAAAATAAGTAAAGGAAGGAGAGAATAAAGGGAAAAAGAGACCCCTGATATATTGATATAATATAAGGAAGGTGAAGAATATGGCAGGAAAAGTAGCAAAAAAAGGGGGGAATTTCTTTTTATGGTGACATGTAATTAAAATTGGCACCTAATACAGCGTTGTTTTGGGTGCTTGTAATAAAAGGGAAAAGAGGGGGGGAGCACGGTGTGGATTGCAGATCAAAACATGGTAAGAGTAAAAGTAGTTGTTAAATTGTGCAACAAATTTAGAACCCACGTCTGGGGAAAAAAAAGGAATAAACTCGTGGCTATTTACCAGAGTATCTGAAGACACTTGCGCGAAAAAGGTTCGAGTTACTGCAGCACTGGTGGGCGGTAAGGAGATTTTACCATCAAGAAAGATGCATTAGTGGGCGGTAGGTATAAAAAGGTTGACTGCCCTTGGTATAGATCATTTCACTGCTCAATTCACTGCCATTTAGGAGTTAAATCACTTTGTTTCTGTTTATGCAGCCCTAGCCACACCTCCCCAGGCTATGATTGACAGAGCCTGCATGAAAAAAAACCTGGTTTCACTTATAAACAGATGTAATTTACCTTAAATAATTGTATCTCAATCTCTAAATTGAAATTTAATCACATACAGGAGGCTCTTGCAGGGTCTAGCCAGCTATTAACATAGCAGGGGATAAGAAAATCTTAATTAAACAGAACTTGCACTAAAGAAAGCCTAAATAGGGCTCTCTTTACAGGAAGTGTTTATGGAAGGCTGTGCAAGTCACATGCAGGGAGGTGTGACTAGGGTTCAGAAACAAAGGGATTTAACTCCTAAATGGCAGAGGATTGAGCAGTGAGGCTGCAGGGGCATGTTTTATACACCAAAACTGCTTCATTAAGCTAAAGTTGTTCAGGTGACTATAGTGCATCTTCAAAGCACCAAGACCAGTGAGTCTTAATAGAGTGGTTTTGGTGTGTGGAACTTGTCCCTTTTATTGAGTATTTCTAAATATTGTGGTTCATAATAGAGAGCAATATTTACATTTAAAAAACACACGGCTGATTACTGTGAGACTGACAGCTACTAGAGGCAATTTATACGTCAAGTGCTTCTTCTCACTACTTGCCTCAAGTGATAAGGGGCAGTGCCAGGCTGAGATTGTCGGCTGAGTACTCTCAGGCAATCACTGCCCAAATCCCTTGTATGAATCTTTGTGGCACTAGCCAGAAGCATAACTCCACCTCCATCAGGCTGTGGACCAAAAATATCTTCTAAAGCAGTGTGTAAATGTTTTAATTTGAAATAATTTACTAATTTAAATTCTTGAATCAGCTTCAAGTCTAGTGACTTTCAGTCTAATAGCCACTAGAAGTGTGTTTATGGCCCAATGTAAACATTGTTTCTCTAAAATGGCAGTGTTTAAAACTGCCAGAGTGCTGGGACAGAATCTATGCTCCAGAAGATAAATATTTTTTGGGGGTTTAGCAGTGGTTCCCATACCAGTCCTTATGGCCCCTCAACAATTCACGATTTCTGGATTTCCCTGTTTTTATTTAAGTGGAGATACTGACAAAACCTAGACTGTTGGTGGGTCTTGAGGACTGGTTTGGGAACCACCGTTTAGAGCAAGCATGTCAACTTGCGGCCCAGGTGTTGTGGCTGCAACCAGCCGCAAGACAGGAAAGATATTTTCTATCTGCTTCTTGTCTTCCCTCCCACGGCCGATCGCGTGCTCCTGCAGGCCAGCCATTCCTCCTTCCCTCCTGCTCGCAGTGCCAGAGGAGCATCTGGGCTGCTGGAGGAGGGCGGCTCATCTTATTGTAGGGATAGATGGGCTTGGGGGATCTTCGTGGTAGCGTGTTAAATTGGGGAGAGAGGGAGAAGGGCATTGTATTAATTTGAGGAAGGGGGGGAGGGAGGGCAGTGTAATAAATTAGGGTGCTGGGAGGAGGGGCAGTGTATCAGATTAAAGGGACACTAGAGTCACCAGAACAACTACAGCTTATTGAATTTGTTCTGGTGAGTAGAATCATTACCTTCAGGCCTTTTGCTGTAATTACTGTCTTTTCAGAGAAAATGCAGTATTTACATTACAGCCTAGTGATAACTTCACTGGCCTCTCCTCAGATGGATAGAGATCCTTCCTTGATCGTGGCTGCCTAAAATGCATCCAAACATTCAGTTCCTCCACCCTCCGCATGCAGATACTGAACTTTCCTCATAGAGATTCATTGATTCAATACATCTCTATGAAGAGATGCTAATTGGCCAGGGCTGTGTTTGAATTGTAGTGACTCTGCCGCTTTGTCAGTCTCAGCCAATCCTATGGGGAAGCATTGTGATTGGATCAGGCTACCACTTCTGCTGATGTCAGCAGGCAGTGGGGCAGGTCTAAAGGAAACGGGGACAAAGTAAGCAGCTGCAGACTACAAGTAAGGTTTTACTATATTTAGGGAGGCATGAAGGGGACAGGGGGGCTAGATGGTGTTTTTAACCCTATAGGTTCAGGAATACATGTTTGTGTTCCTGACCCTATAGTGCTCCTTTAAGAGGCAGTGCATTAAATTGGATGGAGGGGGGAGAACACACTTATAGGACTTCAAAATCAACAAGATAACATAATTTTGTTTTTTACAGCTGTAAAACAGCATACATTCACCATTTCAGTCCAATTGCCAAACTTTTCTTAATATGTCAAGGTAGTTGGGCTTAAATAATATACATATCTACTTAAAGTAAATTTGATCTTTTGTGTGCTTTGAGCGTGATGATGTCCAGTGTCAGGCAACTTTTTATTACTAGGGACCGGGCCGTTTTTAGAAGTCTCCACACTAGCTTCACATCCAACAGCAGCAGGTCCTCTGCTCTCGCGATCCGCGGTGTTCCAAAACCACACCACAGAAAAATACACGCCTGCATTGAAATACCAACAATACATGTAAACACACCCATCCATTCACTCACACATACTCCATACAAAAAATATGCTTGCATTCAAACACACAAACACTGGTCAGTGCTTAATACATTTAAAACATTTGCAGGTATTTTTTACATTTTAAAGTTGGGAGGGGGGGTGTCATAGAATCTTCCTTCGGTGCCAAATGTTTCAGGTACGCCCCTGCCCTAGACACCACGTTCTATGAAACTGTAAAAAGGAGGCAAGTACAATCAAAGGGGGAAAAAATACAAATACATGTTAAACAAAATCTAGCCTTTAGCAGCTTGTGTGGTGTGTGTTCTGGTGTCTATAATAGCCTGTCCCTGCAGACTTTTCAATGTAAACACTGCCTTCTTTTCAGAGAGTGTATCAGGGTCGAAATGTTGATGTATAGGTGGTAACTTTTAAAATACACTTGGAAAACCGAGAGAGTGCTCCTGTCTTTACTTTGTGTGTGTGTGTGTGTATATGCGATCTTTCACTAGAAAAATCTCTTGCACTCACGCTTTTTAAGTCCCTTATTGCCCGGGTGCTAGCAAACCATGGCTAGTAGTATCCATTTGTAGTAGGCAGGTATCAGCACTCTCTGTATTAAAAGTCCAAAGTTTATTGGTATATAGTTAAAAAAAGATCGACGTTTCAGTTCTGCATTGAGGACTTTTATCAGGATCAAAATATACCTGATGAAAGTCCTCAATGCTGGACTGAAACGTTGATCGTTTTTTTTTTTTAACTATATACCAATAAACTTTGGACTTTTAATACAGAGTGCTGATTATATATCCCTCTCCCCCCTCCCCCTCTACACAATAAATTATTGTGTTGTGTAGGTGGTATTCCTATGCTATCCTAGCACTCATACAGCGTATTATCTGTTGAGCTGGATTTCAATTTATCCTAGTATTTTTAGACCAGCAACCATACATATTGCGACCATCCAAATAATTACCTGTATCCTGTATTTATAGCACTCATATGCTTCATATTCTATGCCGTTTGATTAACAACAATTGGCTCTATATCCCCCTGATGATATTATTATTATTATTCTTCTTCTTATTATTATTATTAGCTATTATTAGCCACAGCTTTCCTGTTAGCACAGACGTGTGCTTCTGCTAATTATCCATAAATTATGTGTCGTAATTTTTTTTTAATATTGAGCTATTGTGCTCCGTAGTAATTGTTTTTTTTTTTGTTTTTTTTTTTAATCATTTTTAGGTTTCCACTATTGTTTTAGTGTGTAGCACTTTGGGTGATTGCTAATTGCAATTTTTATATCTTATAAATAAATTATTTTTTGTTTTTCTTTTTGTCTTAGTTTTACATCTGTACTTTAGACTCCTATATCTGTTGTGGAGCTATTTAGTACTTTAATAGACTACTTTCTCCCCCAGTACTTTTCCATTGGTACCCTACTTTTTAAATTTTTTGTCTATTTCTACTAGGGATTATCCCCCTTCTTCTAGTGTACCATATCAGGCTGTATCCAGTGTTTTTTTTATGTGTACATATATACATACACACAGACGCCTCAGTTAACGTAATTTTTGGTTTACAAATGAAAATCCATTGAAAATAATGCCTAGGTTTACAAAAAATTTTCGCAATACAAAGCAAGTTTCCCCAGGATGCATTGCACCTGGGAGGTTTATAGCACCGCCCCCTGCATGCTGGAGCCTGTGGGTAGCACGTGGTGTCGAGTGTGGAGGTGTTCGAGCGGCTTTTACTAATTTAATTTTTGAACTATTCTGGAAATTGTTTGCAGTTGTTTTGGGACTTTTTGGTGCATTTCTCAAGCTGTGGAAAGGTAGGGAGCTGAGCTTCATCGTTTGCATGCCTTTTATTGTGTGTTCTGCATTGTGGGTTGGTTTCCATGCCAGCTCATTTTGACTTTTTTTCTTACCTCCAGACAGATGAACTGTTTTTTAAAGGACCACTATAGTGCCAGGAAAACATACTCGTTTTCCTGGCACTATAGTGCCCTGAATGTGCCCCCACCCTCAGGGTCCCACTCCCGTGGCACTGAAGGGGGAGGAAGGGGTTAAACATTCACCTTTCTCCAGCGCCAGGCTCTCTTGGCGCTGGGGACTCTCCTCCCTCTTCTTCGTCGGCTGAATGCGCATGTGCGGCAAGAACCTCGTGCGCATTCAGCCAGTCTCATAGGATTATCAATGCTTTCCTATGGACGCTGGCGTCTTCTCACTGTGAAAATCACAATGAGAAGCGCCTCTAGCGGCTGTCAATGAGAGCCACTAGAGGCTGGATTAACCCATAGGTAAACATAGCAGTTTCTCTGAAACTGCTGTTTACTGCAAAAAGGGTTAAACCTAGCTGGACCTGGCACCCAGACCACTTCATTAAGCTGAAGTGGTCTGGGTGCCTATAGTGGTCCTTTAATACATTCTTATGTGAAACGTCCCGGAGAACGCATTACATTTGTAAACCGAGGTCCCACTGTATATACGAAGTACAGGAGCACTCACTCGGGGGGTGTGTGTGTGTGTGTGTGTGTGTGTATAATATATGTATTTTTTATATATGTGTGTGTGTGTGTGTGTGTGTACACACATCAACGTTTCAATCCTTCAGGGTCTTTATCAAGTTACACTCTCTGAAAAGGCAGTGTTTTTACATTGAAAAGTCTGCAGGGACAGGCTATAGACGCCAGAACCACTACATTAAGCTGTAGTGGTCCTGGTGACTATAGTGTCCTTTTTAAGAATTGTATTTTTGTTGTTGAATATAAAGCTTTGCCAAGTTTAATTAACAACAAAAAATATGCAATTCTTAAAGGGACAGTATAGTCATCAGAACCACTACAGTTTAATGTAGTTGTTCTGGTGCCTATAGCTTGTCTTTGCTGCCTTTTCAATATAAACACTGCCTAGTAACGCCTCTAGTGACAGTCAATCAGATGGCCTCTAGAGTCCTGTGTCAGTGCTGTACAGTGTGCAGCACCACTCTCTGCATGGAGGCACTGAATTTTACCCATGGAGAACATGCACAATATTCTCTCAGTGCTTTCCTATGAGAAAGCATTGGTTTACTGAGATCCTAAAGATTGATGATCTCAGCTATGGAAATGGGAAAAGCCTTGCCGAAAACCACACGGCTTTTGAAAAACGTGAGTAAAAACTCCTCATGTGATCAGAAGTGGGGCAGGTACCTTGACAGAGCAAATGTATTACCTCACACACGTTTTCTCACACACTCGCACCTTTAGGAGAGCTGAGTGGATCTTTCCCTGGTGTCCAGTGGGGCTGCTCTCTCTTCCTGCAGCTTCTCTCTGCTCCCTGCGTACTCTCTGTAGTGATGCCGGGGCCGGAGTGACATCAGATTCCAGCATAAATAATAGTGCAAGGGAGCAGAGAGAGGAGCTGCAGGTAGATATTACTGCTCCCTCTGCCAGTTGCCTTGATGCTACCTAGGACAGCAAGCTACAGCTAGGGCTAAGGAGCCTTGGATTTGTCGAGCCTTGGATTATACATTTACATAACAATTCATATCAGCACTGTAATAGGTTGAAAGCAGTCAACAACAGCCGCTGTGGCAGTGTGAGGAAACACTGCTATGTTAGCTCCAGAATGGCACTTTCAGTGTTCCCTGACTAGAGGGGGTTAAAAATCAGGTTGCTCTAGTACATCAATTAGAGAGCTACATAAACCCTATGCAGAGGGAAATCAGTCTCTCCTGTGAAGAGCTGGGGTCGAGACAGAGAGACTGTGAGTCAAAGAGACTGCTGAAACTATGGGAACAAAAGGTATTTTGCAAGCCTTTATTTTTATTTGTTAAACTACTGGGGTCAGCTTAGCTGTCCAGTAGCATAGAAAGGGTACTCTATGTTAGGTAGTCTCCAGTGTGGAGTAGGAGTTTATTTTGGTTTTCATGTTTTGCTGTGGCTTAATTAGAGCCTGCTTGGTAAATAAAGCTTTCCTCATATTGAAAGAAAGAACTGTTTCTGTTGTTTATGACCCAAGACCCGGCCAGCCTGCTACACCGCCTATTGCTGCTTAGGTTTATGCTTCCTCATTCGCTCAAGCAGCACAGAGATGATGGCCTACTGGGGACTCTCATTTAGCACTAAAACATTTAAAAGCATTTTAATTCTGAATGGAAGGACGGTACCAGGGGACTCTAGACACTAGAACCACTACAATGAGATAAAGTAGCAAAGTTGTTTTGGTGCTTAGAGTATCCCTAGAAAGAGTAAAAGAAAAGAAAGTGTAAAAAAAACCCAACAACTTATGTTAGGAATGCATTAATTCTTGCACCCCTATGCATTCTTAATATAATTATTATTATTTTTTTTTTAACTCTCCGCTTCTAGCACCACTGTTTGCTTGTTTTTATTTCTCTCTATCCCCCCTCACTTTGTGATCTTCACACAAGATATTTACAACCATCTGCAAGAATGGTGTCTGTGTCACTATGTAATACCAGCACGCAGAGTTTAGGATAGCAAGGGACAAGACTAGGAAAGAACGTATTGAATGGCCAGCCTAAATGTTAGACAGAGAAAAAGCATAATCAGTGACAAACCGAGGTCAAGGTAACGGAGAGACAGCGAAAACAAGAACTAGCCAGAGTCAGGTACATGGTAATCAGACGGGCAAACAAGACAGGAAAGGGTTAACAATAAATTCAGAGTCCGATACAAAGCCAAGGTCAATACCAGAATAAACACAATAGATCAAGGAACGCACTAAAGAGCACTGAAACAGAGACCACGATGTGGATAGGGCTAGGGAAGTTTTAAATATCCTTAACTAACATTTGTTTGGCCCACGCCCCCAAAACGTGCATTTGTGGGGGCGTCAGAATGATGTGGGCAGAAGGGAGCCTGAATCTAGTTTTGGCTCCCACTGCCCCTTTAGGAGCGCGCTCGTGATGCGAGACACGCTCCTAGTGCCAGGCAGGCCGCGTGACCGCTCATTGTGGTCAGTGCACATGGGCTTCTCGGAAGGAAAGATTGATCTGCGAGCGGCTCATGTGGAAGCAGGACTGCTCAAGCTGCGGACCCCGGCTGTCCCCTGGATAAGGTAAGTACCGCCACACTATGTTCTAACAAACCTGTGTCTTATCTGCACTCATGTCACTTTAACCCCTGTTTCACAACTCAAATTTGAATTCTATGTGTCGTGTTGGTCAGAAATGCTTTAGACTTGAGAAAGGGAGGTTCTCCCAGAAGCTTGTCATTAAAAAATTCTGTTCAATAAAAAAGGTATTACAAGATACAAATTTTATCTGTTTTTTTTTTTTTTTACATCTACGTTTTTATAGAAGATATAGTAAACACTCTACATACACTGTAGGCAAACATTTTGATATTTACTCTTTTCAAGAAATAACACTGAGAATTTATGGCTGAGATTGATCTGTCTTCGTTGTATAAGTTTCACACTGTCAATATGTTGTGATCCCGGTGAAAACTGGGATAACCTCAGTATACTTTTTAGTGTGTGTTTGCAATGGAAATTCCATCAGCTGAACATTTCCCATCCATTTATTCTAACATTAATATGCCTTTGAGCTATGTTTGTACTTTTTTGTTTTTGTCTGTTAAATCAATGAGAAGCCACCATTAATGGGATGTGGAGGGCATCTCACAACCCAGACGTCCAAAAAATTAATTTGCACCCTTGATGACACATTGCATAGATTTACAGATGTTTTGGTTTGAATTATAGATGAGCGCTTAGGGGATAGATGCTATCTGACTCCAATAATAGCACATATTGTAATCATGTGTTCCATGTTTATGCTACTAGTTGCTGGATTATAGGACCACATAGGCCTGAGTTGACCCATTTATAGTAAAAATAATTTTTTATGCCTTTTGTAGATAATATATATAAAATTTTTTTTTCTTAAAGGGACACTGTAGGCACCTAGACCACATCAGCTCATTGAAGTGGTCTGGGTGCAATGTCCCATGTCCCTTAACCCTGCAGTGGTATTTACTGCAGTTTCTGCAATAATTACCTCTTAGGGTTAACTCCACCTCTAGTGACTGTCTACCAAACAGCCACTAGAGGGCTTCCTGTTTTGAAACGAACCTCTGCATGAGGATCTCCAGCGTCAGATTTTTTTTTTTTTTTCTTCATAGGAAAGGATTGAAGAATGCTTTCCTGTGGGGAAATCATAATGCGAGCCTGACCCAGCGCCAACGGTGCTGCGTTCACGTAAGTGACTGAAGGGTTTTAACCCCTTCAGTGTCGGGGGGGCAGGGAGGGGAAAGGCGCAAGGGAGGGGGGCACTGTAGGATTCTATAGTGCAAGTTAAACAGCTTTGTTTTCCTGGCACTATGGAATCCCTTTAACTAATTAATTATTAAAGCACTTACATTAAATTCACACCGGTTTACAGGTAATGCAGTTAGCCATGCCCAGTCCAGAAGGTGACACCGATAATCCTGTTAACATTCTAAAACAGTGTGGAAGTTATCCCATACATCCATTTACAACATTTGTAAGACACTATGTGCCGGAGCTCGGCCCTTCTTGTGCCATAATCAATGCAAGGAACATAATGATGGTGCTTGAAGTGTCTCTTTAAAGTGAATTTGTCACTTTGCAGGTTTTGCTTTATAAAAACATATTTTGTCCCTCTATTTCTACTTGTTATGTTAATCTTATTATTATTATTTTTTCAGTTATACTTAAAAACCTGTAGGGACTAATTTTCCTCATGGATAATGTGATTTTTGGCAATGGACAGAGCTATAGTGTCCGTGTGGCTGTTTAGGTGGGCCGCCCCACTCCAATTGCAGTGAAAAGGTGATTTTACTCACTTTTTCTTCAACACCGCTCCAGTCTCTCAGTGGTTGGCTCTGCCTCCATGGCTGAGATCATCAGTCTTGATGATCTCAGCCAATCCAATGCTTTCCTATAAAGAAGTATTGGGAGGCTATTCTGCATGTGCCGCACAACACTGTGCCATGCCAATAAGCATCTCTATAGGGAATGATCAGAGCCTCCATGAAGAGTGTGGAGATGCTTAACACCAGGAAGCACCTCTAGTGGCTGTCTGAGTGATTGCCACTAGAGGTGTTACTAGGCATCGTGTGGGCACTGCCTTTTCTCTGAGAGGGCAACGTTTACATTAAAAAAGGGACAAGCTACAGACATCAGAACCACTACATCAGGGGTGCTCATAAATGTAGATCCTAAGGTGTAAAGCTACAGCTCCCATGATGCTTTGCTTGTCTTTGCATGCCTTTAGAATGACGAGGCATCATGGAAGTTGTAGTTGTAAATTATCTGGTTATTCACAAAAGTGAGAATTCAAGGTCAATTCGAAAGTGAATTTCAAATTTAAGGTCAAAATAGCCAAACTGTTTTAAAAAAAAAAAAAAAAAAATTAAATAAAAAAAAAATGATCTAACACACCTATGCTTTCTATTCCGCTACTTTGGCCTTAAATTATTATTATAACACTTATACTCACGTACGTACGTACGTACGTACGTACGTTGAGGGCCCTGCTCAATGAGCTTAAAGGGACACTATAGGCACCCAGACCCCTTCAGCTCATTGAAGTGGTCTGGGTCATGTCCCTTTTGCACTTAGTGCAGCAATATAAAACATTGCAGTTCCAGAGAGCTCTGTCTGGATTGAAACAGACATTTGGTCCACTACCTGATGCTCGACATCCTCAGCATCAGATTTTTTTTTTCCCACCATACGAAAGCATTGATAGTTTGGCTTTCCCCTTCTGAACTGGTTTATGATGTCAATTTCTAAATATTTCATGTAAATTTAAGAGATGCAAAGCATCACATGGAAGAAATAAAATTGAACAGAAGTCATAGGTGATTTTGTTTTTTGTTTGCTTTGTGGTATAAACTCCAGAGAAGTGACAGTTACTGAAAATCCTCATTTAAAGGGACCCTATAATCACCAAAACAACATGAGGTTATTGAAGCAGTTTTTTTGTGTATAGATCATGCCTCTGAAGTTTGACTGCTCAATTTACTACACTAGGGACACTATAGTCACCAAAACAACTATAGCTTATTGCAGGGCTTCCCAAATTTTTATGGGCCCACTTTTCAAAACGGTAATTTTTCGAGACCCACTTGCTTTTAATACATATTTTAAAAAGTGAACACAATGGCAATCAGCTATAGATGCAGACCATGACAATTACTTTTAGAGGCATACAGTTGGCACACCATGGCAAACAGCTTTAGAGGCATACAGTTGGCACACCATGGCAATCTGCTTTAGATGCATACAATTGGCACACGTGGCAATCCGCTTTAGATGCATACAACTGGCACACCGTGGCAATCCGCTTTAGATGCATACAACTGGCACACCGTGGCAATCCGCTTTAGATGCATACAACTGGCACACCGTGGCAATCCGCTTTGTATGCCCACAATTGCCCCACCGCGGCAATCACGAGCGCTAATGCGTATGTGTGGCAAGTGCCGTGCGAACATTTGGCCTCCCCACAGGAAAGCATTGAATCAATATTTTCCTATGGGGAAATAGCTGACAATGGATGTCCTCGTGCAGAGCGCAAGGACATCCAATGTCCGTTACCGGACCAAAAGTCTGTTAACATCCAGGAAGCGCAACAGGGACACTGTACCCAGGCCACCTCAATGAGGTGAAGTGATCTGGTGCCTACAATGTCCCCTTAAGCCAATTTTTTTTATTTATTTATTTTTATTTCTTTTCTCTTTATCAAACCATAGTAATTTGACTATTAATCAACACACAGTTTTCAACCCATGTTTGCTAGAATGTGTTTAAATCGGCTGTACAGTCAGTGCAATTAGCCATATGGTCTTTTTGACTGCTTAGAATGTAGCATTTGCGATTTTTGTTGCTGCTATTTTTTTGTTGCTCCTCAATGATGAGTTGCACTGCATTTATATATAAACTGAGCATTCTGTAAATCTCTGTTGTGCAGTGGTTTACAGGATACGTTTTTTTTTTTCCTGGTTAAAGAGCGGACTGGTTGCAGCTGCAGTTAGACCGACTAATAAGGGCTTCATTGGAAACTCTGGGTTTATGTATATATGTTCTTTTTAATTTTTTTTTATTTTTTTTTTTTATTATTTGTGTAAATGGTTTAATAAAATAGGCAGCATTTTACATTTTTCTTTTTTTTTTTTGCTTTAAATGAATTGTTAGAAGTGGCTTTTTCATTTATATAACCTATGAAAGAGGCATAAATCACGCTGATCATGCTCACTCTCTTCTCCACCTGCCAGGATATTGCAAGGTGAAGAGATGTTCCAACTGCACATGTGTAAATATGTTAGATGCATGCCAATGCAGTTTTCTAGCATTCCTAGGAATGGTACACAGATTAGTTAAATCAGTGTCCCCTCTAAAATGGGTGTGTAATCATAAGAAAGAAGAAGTAGGTGAATATGAAAAAAATTATTTGCCTGTTTTTTTTGTTTGTTTTTAGCTTGCACACTAAAGCTTTTGTGTCATTCAAAGCTAAAGCTTGTCTCAGTGTTTTTTGTCCCTTTAATATTGTGTGTGTGTGTGTGTGTGTAATTTGCTTTTTGAATCATCTTAGCACTGCTTCTCTCTTTTTAGCGTGGATGCACTGAAATGTGGTGAAAATGAAGACTTGGATTCCCAGAATATACCCGAAGACAGTAACCTAGTAACATTGGGGTAACAACCAACACAAAGTTGCATATATGTACTCAATTGTAGCCATTAACTGGTATATTACAAGTGAATATGAAAGTCAGAAATTTTTTTTTTTATTTCACTAGCACATTATATGTATGGCATTTTGTAATTTAAGTACAGGAATTTAAAAGTTGATCACTGTGAATTTATATAAGCTGTGTGGCAACTGTTACAATATATATGACTGAATTTAGACAATACTGATGATCCTCACAGACAGTGTGGAGCTCATGGAAGACCTTCCAGAGTTCATTTGACTTTTTCCAGGGATAATTTTCTACTATGTCAAGTGAGTGAGTGAAAATGTTGTTCCCTCTATGTGTATTTATGTTTATTACTAATATGCACACAATCTGTTTATTTCTACTGGCAGTTTGTGTTCTCACATCCCGTACTGAATGGTGGGTGACATCACCCAATGCAACAGAAACTATTAATGCCCCAGCCTTTAATTCAGCCTTTCTAACATTAAATATATGCTTGGAAAGAAGCTGCAGAGAGAATCACACGGTTTGTCTTCCCAGTTTCGCTCTCATCATGTCCGTGACCTTTCCAGTTAAATGCCCGCCACTATTTCAAACAAAGTCCTCCTGCTTCTCCTCCATCCCCCCTCCCCCTCTCTCCCCTTCTCCCCTAAATATACTAATCTTACCCTATATGCAGCACCGCAGGGATCTGCTAATGCTGACTAGGCCCCCAATCTGCCTCTTTGGCTGACGTCACTCAGAAGTGATCTCAGCCAATCCAGTGCTCTTCTATGGGATCAATTCTGATGACTCAGCCAAGGGGGTGGGGGCGGAGCCAAACTCCACCCTGGCCAATCTGTATCTCCTCATAGAGATGCATTGAAACATTGCATCACTATTAGGAAAGTTTAGCGTCTCCATGCAGAGTTTGGCTATCTGAGGAGTGGCCACTGGAGGTGTTCTTGGGCTGCAGTGTTTTCTCTAAAAAGGCAGTGTTTATAGCAAAAAGCTTGCAGGCACAGACACCAGAACAACTATATGTTTTTTAGCGTGGATGCAATGAAATGTGTTGTTCTGGTGACTATTGTGTCCCTTTTTTAAATCATTATTTCAAATACTGTGAACCTGCAGTTTGACTGGATAGGCAACCTTTAAAAAGGTACTGGTTGACTGACTGTGTCTTCTATTCGCTATTCTTTATTTAGTATTCGAAGGAAGGTAGTGGAAAGACGGAAAGCCATGGTTATTGATCATGCTTGCCGACAAGAGACACTTCGTTATGAAATGGTAAGTTGCTGGTACCACATATCCATCCTCTGTTTTTATTGAAAACAAAGCAGAAACTGTTAAGTAATTCAACGTGATCATCTTCATAATACTAATTTTACTATTTTATTTATTTAAGGAATATCATGCTTTGGGAAAGAGGCCTCAAGATTCCTCAAATATGATAGAAGAAGGAGAACTGCTCCTCACACTAAATATTATGTATCCAGTCATATTTCAGAAGGTTTGAAATAAACATTATATCAGCAATATAAATTCCCAGCACACAAAATATTATTTAAAACAAGAGAAACCTGAATATTGTCACCTGCAATGTTAACATATTTATTGTATGTTATTTTTTTATTTTTTTTTAATCTGATGCACCAAAGTCAGCCTATTTCTCTTATCAAATTAATTTTAAACCACGATTTATAACCATTTGTCTTGCTTATGTGTAATCACTGGATGGTGAAATGTGATCAATAAGGGGTTTAATAATGGGAGAGAAGTTGCTTTTAAAAAAAGAAAAGATAAACAAAAAATTTCTAATTTCATAGAATAAAGGAACTGCATAATTTAAGTGAAGGTATTTAGGTCTTGTACTGAATGTTGGCTAGATTAACAGTACGCTAGATCACTGCAACAATACCATTTTGCATTGGAATATACATTTTTTTTTTCTTTGCTTATATACAATTTGCATGCATTTCTATGCATTAACTCTCATGAAGATATATGTCCCACATTTCATTCTTCACGTCACATTATATGCATACCATCAAACATTTCAAGAAGCGTGGCCAGGGGGAGGAGCCACTTGGGTAACTTCAGTGTTTATGTAACTGAAAGGGCAAATTGGAACAGGAACAAAGTATATATTATATACAAGGCTATTTATTTATTTTCTTAACACCTTTTTGAACATAAACAGAATATTGAATATGACCACAAAACTATGTTTGTATATTTCAGCACAAAGATTACAAACCCTATGCAACCATGCTGGTCTTGGGTAGCCAGAAACTCACAGAGCTGCGGGATGCTATTAAGTGCGTCAGCGATTTGCAGATTGGAGGAGAGTTCAGCAGAAACCCTGACCTAGCCCCTGAAAACATTTGCAAGGTACCAGTTAGGGCTTAGGGTTGCTCTTCAACTTGTATATTTGATATTTTTAAGGGACACTATAGTCACCAGAAGAACTACAGCTTATTGAATTTGTTCTGGTGAGTAGAATCATTACCTTCAGGCTTTTTGCTGTAAACACTGTCTTTTCAGAGAAAATGCAGTGTTTACATTACAGCCTAGTGATAACTTCACTGGCCACTCCTCAGATAGCTACTGCTTTTTATTCCAGAAAATAAATAAAAACACCACATCATATTTTGCTTTCCATAATTACTGTTTATATGTGTTTTATAGTAAAGGTGCAGGGCCTTTTTCACCTCTTTGCATTTGTGTGTCATGCATTTGCTGGTTTATAGCCCTGTTGTAAAGTGTAATGCTGAATAACTGTACTACAATATGATCTTGTATGCAAAGATTGCATATAACAAACTTGCTATATTTTTCCTCCAATTATGTCCTCTTTATCAGAGTTTTGAGAGGAACACAAAGCATTATATTCTGGGGTACAAGAGTAAGATGGCTCTGAGAGTGCAAGACTGCACATGTCTAGTTACACTTGTAATAGTTATATGTCACCAGTTAAAAGTCAAGATGGAAACTCAGCATTCCTTTGTTTCATCCGATTTGCCTGAATAATGAAGGTTGTGTTTATTATATCTGTGGGCTCACTGAAACCCAAAGTTACAAGATGGAAATCAAAAGGTACTTAAAGGACCACTATTGTTACCCAGACCACTTCAGCTTAATGAACTGGTCTGGGTGCTAGGTCCAGCTAGGTTTAACCCTTTTTTCTATAAACATAGCAGTTTCAGAGAAACTGCTATGTTTATAATAGGGTTAATCCAGCCTCTTGTGGCTGTCTCATTGACAGTCGCTAGAGGCGCTTCTCACTATGATTTTCACAGTGAGAAGACGCCAGCGTTCATAGGAAAGCATTGTGAATGCTTTCCTATGGACTGGCTGAACGCGCGCGGCTCCGGATGCGCATTCAGCTGAGGAGGAGAGTCCCCCGCCCGGGAGGGGGGCTCTGAGGGTGGGGGCACCCTCAGGGCACTATAGTGCCAGGAAAACGAGTATGTTTTCCTGGCACTATAGTGGTCCTTTAACCCCTTAAGGACCAAACCTCTGGAATAAAAGGGAATCATGTCACACATGTCATGTGTCCTTAAGGGGTTAAATCACAGTCCTTAAAGTTAGTAGAGTGAGACAGACAGGGTCATTCTATAAAGTGAGATTTCATCAAAGTGAATTTCAAATGCTGTCAGTTTGGCTACTCTTAAATTTGAAATTCACTTTTAATTCTCCCTAAATGACCATGTGTGTAATCTGTGGTGGGGGTACAGCGTAGTTGTTATTTCAGTCTCATTTCCAGTAAAGTACTTGCATGTTAGTCTAATATGAAAGTTCTAGATTGTACTTTTTATTTTATTTTTTATAACTGGTTATTCTTTATTTTTTCTCCTTAAAGGACCTTTTTAAATCGGCATTCTTCTATTTTGAAGGCATATTCTATAACGACATGAGATATCCTGAATGCAAAGATCTGAGCAGGTTAGTATTAGGTTCTTCATTTATCTACTTGCTTAAAGGATCACTATAGTGTCAGGAAAACAAAGCGTTTTTCCTGACACTAGTGCCTTTAGGACCCCCCCTCCCTAAGGATCCCCCTCCCGTGGCGCTGAAGAGGTCAAAACCCCTTCAGCAGCTTACCTTAATCCAGCACCGGGCTCCCTTGGCGCTGGTGTCCTCTCCTCCCCCGCCGACGTCAGCTCCCGAGTGGAGCGGAATGCGCATGCACAGCAAGGGACGTTCTGCACGCTGGATGCGAATTTCGCATCCAGCATCGCAGAAGCACCTCTAGCGGCTGTCAGGAAGATTAACCCCTAATGTAAACATAGCAGTTTCTCTGAAATTGCTGCGTTTACATCTGAAGGGTTAAAACCTGGGGGACCTGGCACCCAGACCATTTCATTGAGCTGAAGTGGTCTGGGTGACTATAGTGTCCCTTTAAAATAAAATAAATGCTTAATATAAATGGATTTTATTTATTTTTTATAAAATATACAAGTTTTCAACTCTCATATACATTGATGAACCCTACACCTTCTTTATTTCAAAGTAAAATTCAATATAAAAGGAATTGTAAATAAAAAGAATAAATATGACCTTGTTTTATGTTTTTACCTGAAATCTATTCCGTCTTCTCCTGAATAGCAAAGAAACTTTTGTGTTTTGACATTTGTTGTTCTATCATTTGTAGAAATACCATTGATTGGGCAGAATCCCGTGACAGAGGCTATGGAAAATTTCAGAGTGCTAAGATGGAGGATTACACATTTAATGACTTGCGAATAAAAATCGGTTTCCCTTACTTGTATTGCCATCAAGGAGACTGTGAACACATTGTTACAATAACAGATATAAGGTGGGAAGTATGTGAAGGCAAGGCACAATGCCTGTTGACTTAGGTTATAGAAACAAATCATTGTTAATAGTTATTGCAATGTTATGGATTTCCTTTGATACATCAGCAACCAGTGCCATATTGGTGGCTGAGCAAAAAATAGATAAAAAAAAATCATTGCCTTGTACAGTCATGTTATTTAAAGGGACACTATAGTCACCAGAACTGCTACAGCTTAACGGAACACTATAGTGCCAGGAAAACAAACTAGTGTTATTAGGTCCCCCCCCCTCTTGGAGCCCCCCCTCCTGCTGGGCTAAGGGGGTAAAAACCCCTTCAGCCACTTACCTTAGTCCAGCGCCGGGCTCTCTCGGCGCTGGTGACATCTCCTCCCCCTGCCGACGTCAGCTCCAGAGTGGAAACTCCTATGGACATCCAGCTTGAGTTCAATGCGATTTTTCGCATTGAGGATCATGGACGCACCCTCTAGTGGCTGTCAGGGAGACAGCCACTAGAGGCTGGATTAACCCTCAATGTAAACCTAGCAGTATTCCTGAAACTGCTATGTTTTCAGCTACAGGGTTAAAACTAGGGAGACCTGGCACCCAGACCACTTTCATTGAGCTGAAGTGGTCTGGGTGCCTATAGTGGTCCTTTTAAAGTAGGGGTTCTGGTGTCCTAGAATTGTAAACTCATCCGTTTCAGAGATAAGAGGTGTAACAAGAAATTGCTGACTTGTTACACCTCTAGTGGCAGTCACTCAGACATCCACTAGAGGTGCTTCCTGTGTTAGTGCTGCACAGTCACTGGCGTTCAGCGTCTCCATGCTCTGTATGGAGACGCTGAACTTTCTCTAGGAGATGCTGAATGGCGCAGGGCTGTGTTTTTCCTAAGGGAAAGAACTGTACAGCCATGGAGGTGGGGCCAGCCACGCCGTGGGAGAAAAGGTGAATAAAATCACCCTTGATCTCTAGAGAGAGAGAGGCCAAGGCTGAAGTTTCTCAAATTCAATCTTGTACAGATCCATTCAGCCTGTTGTCCAAAAGAAGGTAAGAAACAATTGGAGTTTATTTCCAATTGTGCCACAAAACGGAACGCCTAAACTCCAAGGTGTTAGTCAGATTTCTCTTTAGGTTAGGAAGTTGTTAAATTAAAATTTTTTTTTTTTTTTTTTTTTTTTAATTTTGTGGAGAACTTGCATATTTTTTGATTACACCCATGTGCGCATGTGTAATTAATTTATTCTTATTTATTTTTACCCTTTCTTTTCTATAAAGGTTTATACATTTGTGTGCATGTGTAATAACAAATTTATTTTTACCCTTTTTTTTTGTTTTGTTTTTTTTGTTAGGTTGATACATTATGAAGACTGCCTGGATAGAACTCTTTACCCATTGCAAGTCAAGAAACATTGGTTCTGGACTAGAAAGTGCTATGTGTGTAAAATTTATACTGCTAAGTAAGTTGATATATGGATTTACTTGCCAAAAATACATCACATTCTGAAGGCTTATACTGTACGGATAGACCGATAATCGGAAAATATCCGCCGATATTCTGGATTTTGGCAAATATCAGTATAGGAAGAGGAGAGGGACACTAAGGGATAGGGGAGGGAGGAGAGGACATTAAGGGACAGGGAAGGAGGGGAGAGGACACTAAGGGACAGGGAGGGGAAGGGAGAGGAACACTAAATATGTAGAAATTGTTTGTTTGTTTTTTAAACGGTAAGTTATTGACTATCGGCCTAAAAGTTCAGATTATCGATATCGGCTTTAAAAATTCAATATCGGTTGATCCCTAGTTTATAGACACTCATTCAGATTTGGTGATGATGAAAACGTTTACCTTTCTTCTTAACCCCTTCAGGACGGAGTCAATAGTTCTGAACAAAACAAAATGGAAACAAAAACTGGAATTTGCGCTATATGTCCGTAATTCACCCCTTTCATATTAAGTGCACCCACACCTATTATATATCATTTTGTTCAGGAGAAACAGAGCTTTAATGTCTCATGAACTATTCATATATAAAATTAAACTGTGAGAAATTAAGATTTAACCATACTACAATCCCTATACACCCTATATCTTGTATCGGTAGAGCACAGTGCCTGCCTATACAGGAGCGTGCCAGACGAGAGGCGGTGCGTTTCGGTGACCAGGACCGGGGCTCTCCATGGTTTATCAGGCTTGGTGCAGGGCTGTGGCTTGCTTCATGTCGGTACCCGCCTCCGTGCCACTTTTAGTTTCGTTGAGCTACGCTGCTTGCGCTTCTTCCATGTTGGAGCCTTCAACATCACCACCTTTTGCTTTCTCCGATGGGGATCTGGAGCTTGTAAATGTTGTTGGCGTTCCGGTGGGGTATGCTGTGCATCACAATAGGGTTGCCTGCTAATCAACTGCTTCCAGAAGTCGTTGAAGTGCTGGATTATCCTAGATTCCATATCTGAGAGTGCTTCACTGATGGTAGGTAAACATGCGGTTTCCGCCATTTTGTGTTTCGTTGTGAGGTTCGACGGCTTGGATGGCTCTGATCTGCATGTTTGCAAGCACTGGGCTGCCTCCCCGGAGTGTAGCGGGATAACCCACGCTGGTCCATGGGGATAACAAACGGGGGACTCGCTGGCAAGTAGTTCCCTCTAGGTCCCACTGGGCTGGGAGATCGGCTGCTTTTCCCACCCTTTCGGGTACCACGCAACATCAGCAGAGCGGAGGAAGGGAGACTTTCTTCGACTGTCACCAAGTAGGTCAGTGGGCTGTCTTTGCCTTTGTACATTTGTCTTAGGGCAAATTAATAGAGGAGCTCACTTAACATGCAACTCCCCTCCATGACAGTGAGACCCCGTCCTCCATTCACCTTCCCCCCTCCCCCCCCCCGCAGACGCTATACTCGTGTACAGTGTTGTATAATTATACTTGCATGGATTACATTTACTAGATTGCTCGTTTTGACCTTAAATGTGATTTTTCTGTTATGCCTGCTAGCTATCATGCCAATTATGCAAATGTATTGCTAAACCTAAATACAGTGTTCCCTTCCAGTGATGTTACTATAAATGTAACTGCATGCCAGCTGACCCAGGCATAAATCACATCACAAGTAAAAACATTAGGGAGGTTTGCAAACCTAATGCCACCTCATATATTTAACTTTATTTTAATTATTAAGAAATAAATTATACGTGCTATAGGGCAGTATTAATTTAGTATACAGTGAATGTAAAATACCTGAAAATATTTAAAATGTTTAATTTTACTTGTATACAGTCAGGCTTGATGTAGAGGGTATGACAGGAGGTATGTGAAGACTGGGTTGGGAACCAATAACAGTCCAGGATTTAAGGATTACCCAATTGTGTCTAAGGTGTCTTTAGGAGGGAAAAAAAAGAAAACCACTTTAGACACAACTGGGTAATCCCTAAATCCTGGACTGTTAACGGGTACTTGAGGACTGGGTTGGGAACCACTGGTGTATGAGAACCTCTCATTTTAGCATTCATCCTACACCTGAACTGACTTTTCATCACTGGGAATCAGAATTTATAGCCTGTAATGAATATTTTCACTTATCTTAAATCACTCGCTTATACACCATGTATCACAAAGATACACGATGTAATCAATCTAAAATATAGAGATTTTTCTTCATTTCCAGCACCACCTCGTGGTTGTAACTTTGTGTAACACCCACCTCCTGGCCGTCCTCTGCTCCTCGTGGTCTCTTCTTTGATTTGCCCTGGTGGGATGTATTGTCGGCACGTTTGCTTCGTTGCTGGGATCGAAACGGAGTGACTTCATGTCACTCCATTCTTATACTCCCTAGCCAGCAATAGAAGCCACAGCTAGGGAGTTTTCTTAACTGGGTCATGTATTTTTAATTTTGTAACCTAAATTACTCCATTAACATTTTGCATTTATTACAACATAACACCATTTTTCTAGCACTATTTATCTGTCCTATCTCCCCACAAAATGGTTTATGCACAAGAATCTAAAAAAACAAATACATTTTTTTTTTTTTTTTTTACATCTGCCATAAAGGCACAAAGGAAAGAAGACCAAGTACTTGGTTAAATTGTAATAGAAACACTAAAGCTCTGAGGTGTATGTGTGTGTCTCACAGATGTACTGTTATGCCAGTAATGTACAAAGGTATGGTTTTAATTTTGTTAAATATATTTTTGTTACTTTCTAGGTGGGTAACAAATGAGGACAGCCTCGCTCCAGATGACCCTTGCTTTTTCTGTGATGTTTGCTTCAGAATGCTACACTATGACACAGAAGGCAATAAACTGGGAACATTTTTAGCTTATCCTTATGTTGACCCAGGAACGTTTAACTAAAGACTGAACAATGTGAAATGTTGCATTACATAAAATGAGACTTCTAATCTGCATCTTAATAACTTGTTAATTAAGCAACCATGGGGACTGGTTTGTATTGCAAACGAAACATAAGACTGTTTATGTATATTGTTATAGTTTTTCAGAATTAATTGCTATTTTATTTATTTTGTACTGCTTGTATAAAAAAAAAAAAATATATAGCTATTTTTCCACGGTGCACTCTGTTTTCCAAAATGTTGATTTTTATTTTTTATAATTATAAAACATCTGTTTTGTGTTTGGATTACTTTTTCCAGACCAGACTGTAGGAACTCTAAAGTGTCTTTAGCAGATTTACAAAAAAAACAAAAAAAAAAGTGAAATTAGGGCACACCCGGAACAGGCATTTCTTATCAATAGTGCTGCTGTAAAGACCAAAATCTATACAAAATACAGATTAAGGAACAGCACACACAAATTAGGTGACTATCTCCACATTAACACCTTAAGGACACGTGACATGTCATGATTCCCTTTTATTCCAGACGTTTGGTTCTTAAGGGGTTAAGCTCACTACAAATGTGTTTTTATCACATTATTTTTTTGTATGATCTTTATTTACAGTGGATTATTGAATGCACTTTAGCTTATTATATTAATTTAGCACTGGCACTATTTAAAGGACCACTCTAGGCACCCAGACCACTTCAGCTTAATGAAGTTGTCTGGGTGCCAGGTCCTATAGTTGTCCTTTAAGTAGTTGTTGGTCTCTCATGTTAAAATTAGTGTAGAACCCACCGATATTGAGGTGCTGTGATGTACTGGTGGGCTTAATACGATATGGACATATTGTGGAACTGAATCCCTATCTTTGTTTGCTGAGATAGGTGATTTTAAGTAGCCTTGTATTTAGTGTGTGTGTGTGTGTGTACTTTTCTTTAATCTGTATATCAGTATTTGTAGAAGGATTCTGAATATCAATCTTAAGTAAAGCCGACGAGATGAAGGCATCCCATACTTGGTAATATGTAGCTGAGGTGGAATAATTCCTAGCTTGAATCAGGGTTTCAATCATAATTTCCTGCCTCAAAATGCTCTCATTTGCCTATGATCCTGAGGCAGAAACGCTAGTCTCCCTTTAGCTTCTTTCTTGACATATCAATGTGTTTCCCAAACTACATTTCTTTGAAGAAGCATTTGTGACTCTAGATCTAAGCCAAAGGTCTCTCTTAGCAGACAGAGAGGGCCTTATGTCTCTTGATGCTTTTATCGTAAAGTCCGCTTCAGCATAAATGTCTTGTAAGCTTTCAATGAGTGAGTGAAGATCTGCTTCTACTATTTCTAATATACTTCTCTAAAGTCTCATTCCATAATTTAAGAGCACTGGAGACAGAATTTAATTTACCAGGAAAGTCACACTCTTCTGACTTTCTCTATTCTGAGATTTAAAAAGTAGAGAATTGAAGGTTCATTCTTTGCAGATTCTTTCAGGCCCCAAGAAATTAAAGGATTTACACAAACAGGGTCCAGTGAATCAGGAGCGGGCTGTTCATCTTCTTAAAAGGAGAAGACTTCCCTATATGCATCCAACTCCAGAGTCATCTGATGACTCCCGTTCAAGAGCTGGAGATCCAGGACTTTTGCATTCTGTGCCAGCCCTACAGAAACTGCCTGCTTGATGTACACCGATCAGCCACAACATTAAAACCACTGCTGTGAATAACATTGATTACATCATTACAATGGCACCTGTCAAGGGATGGTATATAGGCAGCAAGTGAATAGTCAGTTCTTGAATCTCATTTGGGGAAAGTAGGAAAAACTGGCATTTCCAAAATGGCAAGTTTCAAAGACCATAAAACCCATAGGAGACCTAAACATATGTGGCAAAAAGCCAAATGAGCCCTACAATATGCCACGGGACCACCAGGGTTAAGAATCCCCTAAAATGGGGACATTAACACAAAATACTGCAAAAAATGACACGAGAAAGCAGGCTGAACTAACAGCAGGATTAAATATATATATATAGTATTTATAAAAAAAATGTATTATCATGAATTTATAGTTCCACTATAAAACTAAATACATTGCAGTATTGGGTAGAAGGGGCAATATAGGGCACACCAATACTTGCTACTCCTAGAGTAACTGCAAGTCTTCCCCTGGTCACTAAAGGGAAGCCTTCAGGGAGACACCTTTTGAGCAGGGCCATATCCTGAAGCTTCCTGAGGAATAGAGGCTGAACTCACTTGGGCAGAGGAAATAACCCTTAGGTAAGCCAAAAATAAAAATTGTCAAAAAAAAAAGAGGCTGACTGTCTTATATGTATAGGACAGGAAAAAAGACTGCAGCATGGGAGGGTTATTTAAAATATTTCCCCCTTAATTATTTAGGTTCCTTTATAATTCCTTAGGGATGGGAAGGAGCTACTCATTTTTTGTAGTACAATGGATAAGGCCAGGAATTATTTTAATTTTTTTTTTTAAGACCACAATAATAAATCATATTCCTATACAGGCTACACTATCTACGATAATCAGGAAAACATTAAAACAAATCTCTATTGTACTGATTCAGTTTTAGTAGCACTTAATTTAAGCACTGTTTGTAATCGCTGCATTTGTAATTGCCATCAGATTGACATGATCTAAATATACAGCCCAGTGTTATGACTATCAGAAATAATGCAGCAATACCTCTTGTGTGCCAACGTTTCCAGGGATTCTCGAAATCAAAGCAGAAAACAAGTGTTGCTAAACAAAATGTTAATTTTTTATGATAAAAAAAAATTGTGTTTAATACCAAACACACTTCTCCAAGCAAATTAGATTAAAGCTAGCAAAATGACTGTAATCAAAAACACTATTAAATGCGTCTGTCCAGGTTCCATGATATTTTTTCTTTTAACCAGAAAAGGGCAGAACATAATAAAGTCAAATGTTTAATAACAAAAAATAGTCATAGTACATACATAATAAATAGAAGTTATTTATGCCAACAACATTTCTAATATAATGTTATAGTAATGTGATCTTCTGTTGGGGGGAGTACCGATAGTAAAACTGGCCCCTCACCCAAATTTGATTGTACTCCCCGTGAGCAAACTGATCATTTGCATTCCTTGGAAGGCCCACCAACAATGTATTTCCCTATTTTATTCCAATGGAGATACTGACAAAACCTGGATGGTTGTGGTGGGCCATGGGGAACACTACTCTGAACCATCTCTAGTTTCTAAGCCAGCCCTGGAGGAGGTAGAAGGCGGTGGTAGGCATAACTGTAGGAAGTCTAGGCAAATTAAATCTTTCTTAAGAGAAAAAGAGAGAGCCATGAGAGATTGGATTTCACATTTACTAGAAAGTCAGAGCACACTTTCTACAGTCTTCTTGGCTCCCAAATCACAGAGCAAGTGGAGACTCAGACCCCCCAAAAAATCTTAATTTCGAATAAGTAAATTTCCTTGATTCTTCCCAATACGATATAAAGAAAAGAGACTGGATGAGATTGATCGATCTGAAAGATGTATGCTATTAGATTCCAAACCACAAGAGTCACTGCAGGTTCCTACAATTTTGTCTCAGGAAGGCATTATCAATTCAGATTTTCTTTACCTGGCTATTACTTATGGCAGCACCAGCAACCCTCCCATATTTGTTCAGAACTTTTATAAGGACTGTGGGTTAGAAGGAGGAGCAGTCTTGTTCTAATGTGTTGATGTTTCAGGTCCTGTTCCTGCAGGGGGTGGAGCTACCTATAAGTGATGCTGCCATGAATAATAGCCAGGAAAATAAAATTACAGTAAGTATGATACAATTTTCTGTATTTTTAGTTATAAAGCGGATTTGTAAGCTTTTTCTTTTTAAGGACTGGATCTCTATCTCAATTGGAATGCAAGGGTTGCATGTTTTCTTGTGTGGCTTACTTAAGGAGACTGATCTAGCACTCGATCTAAGATAAATTTAGTTTTTTTAAATTATTTATAAAGGATAGGTTACAATACTAACATATTTTGATCTGTGAATAAGATCAAAATTAAGTGACCTCTAGCCATCAATCATTTCTGTTTTGGTGCTTGGGTGGAATTTTGAGTCTTTAATCAAAACAATATAAACATAATAGATTTATCTTCATTCAACATTACCTCATATTTTTTATACCTCTCTTTATTTCATTTTATTTTAATCATTTTTAATATTTATTTTATTCACTTTTTTCCTCCCCGCACTATTTATATTACTTGGTAGGCTGGTAGTGATGATTGTTAGGGGTCAGCTGGGGGTCAGGCAGGTTTTGTACACACAGATCGCAAAAGTTTTAAGGACGTTTTTTACATAGAACGTTCTTAGTGCGACTGTGTACATTAACAATAAAGTTATTTTGCACTCCAACTTGGCTGCGCATGCGCAAGCCAGTCACGCGCACGTCATAACGTATGACGGTGCGCGCGACATGGCGCACGCATGGGCGACGGCGGAAGTGACCACACAGACTGGCGGATTCAAAAGAGAAGAGGATTCTGAAGTGAGATGCTCCTGAGGAAGTCGAGAGACGAAACGCGTTGAGCTCACCTTTGGACTCTGCAGTTTGGTATCGGCAGTTTTATCTTACATATTTACTGGTTTAATGCTTGTGCAATACTCTGCTTTCAGTTCATTATCTGAACCTATAGAAGATTGTCTTTTTTGTGCACTTTTATCTGTACATTTATTTGCACCTAGGCACTTTGCATATCCAGTACTTTATTGTTTTTAACTGCTGTACCTAAGGGTCTTATTTAGCCTATTGTGGCATTTTATACTGCACATGTTTTGTGCTGTTAATATGGATATTTTATAATTAATACATTTTTTGTTACTTTTTATCCTTATTTTTCCTCTTTGTCAATTTACTCATTTTTTTCCTTTTAACCCAATTATATCACCTATATAGTGATTGTGTCACTCTGTTTCTTTCTATCTTGTTTTTTAATCAAAACAAACATGCTTATCCATTGGGTATATAGTTTGATTCGTGATCTGGCTATGTTTCGGCTTGGAGTTTGAAACGTTGAGCAATCACCCAATTTCACAAAATTCTGAAGAATTGCAGTTTGTAACAAAATTAAATTCCAAGTCTCTCTCATAATGAAATTAAGTTAGTTTAGGCTTAGTTTAAGTCAACTCTAGCCCAGATCTACATGGAGAAGAGTTTGCAAATTAACAAATGTCCTTTAGTATGCATCAGATTTGTAAAATTTTTATTTTTAATAAAACATACTGAATAATCTTCACTGTGACTTGACACGTTGTCATATAAAATATATATGTATACGTAACAAAACCTAGAATTTGGCTGTCTCTACAACCATAATTCACCTCTTTCATATTAAGTGCACCCACACTTATAAAAAATGTTGTTCAGGAAAAACAGGGCTTTCATTTGACATCAAATATTCATATATGAAACTATTTTATATGACTAAAATCTAAGAATTTGATAAATTGGGGAGGAGCTTGGGACTGAGAGCACTCAGTAATGCTCAAACCATGGTGCTACTCAGCGCTGGGTATATAATCCAAAGAAAGAAATGAGAGCACTCGCTGGATTTCCAATAAAAGAGTAAATATATAGTGCTCTCATTTTGGGTAGTGTCAGATTATCTGCTTTTTGTGTGTGTGTGTGTTGGGGATGCAGTGCTTATATAAGGGGTATAGCTTGTGTAGTTTTTGTGTGGGTGCAGTTGGTGTATTGTTAGTGCAGGGAATTTAGTGTGTATATAAGAGTATAGAGTGTGTGAGTGTGTGTGTGTGTGTGTGTGTGTGTTAGTGCAGTGGCTGTGTGCATATATATGGGTAGAAAGTATGTTTATGCAGAGGCTGTAGTGTTTGTGTGTGTGTGTGTGTGTGTGTGTGTATATAATATATATATATAGGTACAGTGTGTGTAGTGTGTTCGTGCAGGGGCTGCAGTTTGTATGTAGGGGTATAGTGTGTGTGTTACAAAGTATTTGTGTTAGTGCAGGTGCTTTAGTGTGTTTATAAGGGTATCAAGTGTGTGAAGTGTTTGTGTGGTAGTGCAGGGGCTGTAGTGTGTGTATATAGGGGTATAAACTGTGTGGAGTGAGTAAGTAAGTGAGGGTGTGTGTATATAGTGGGTACTCCTCCTCCCCCTTATTACCTTGCAGGGGGAGAGGGAGCATGCAGATCTCTCCAGTGAGCTCTGATAATATCGGAGCTTGCGAGAAGTCAGGCTGCTTTCCCTGCATGCATGGAGCGTTTCGCTCACTGTGAAATCTTTCCTCCAGTGGCCCGTGAGGTGACAGAACCCCCTATTAGGGTCAGCAGGAGAGATCACTTGATCTCTCTTTCCGGCCTCGGCGGCACACCGGGCATTAGCCCGTTTTGCCCGATGGCCTTGCTTCCAGGCAGTCCCCAGGATCGCGACCACCAGCGTGGTATCGGCGGGGACCCGGTAAGTCCACTGGACGGAGAGACATTCTATGCTGCCCTGCGGCGTTTAGGAACACCCCCTCCCAGGACGGCATAGAACGCTGACCGTCCTTAAGGGGATAATATTACTTAGGTTAAAATTCTTAAACTAAAATATATCTACCCGGAAAGTACCTAAACATTTTATTTTATAGCCACAAAATCATTCTGTTGCTGTACAAATGCATTTAGCTGCAAAAACAATACACGTTTATGCATATATTGTAAATAAATATATCTAGCAAATAAGTAAGCAGAAAATAATTGCAAATGTATTTTTGTTTTCAATAATTTCACATTATTTACTCCCCCTATTGGTTCTAAAACATCAAGAGGTTTAGTGTATTATCAAAATTATTTTTAGCATTTATATACTCCTGGGAACTGAGGAAAAAAAATTGTCTTCCAATATTCCATCCATATTTGATGAAGTGGAAGAAAAAGTTCCCAGCATACCACTTATCACATGACATATCACTGGAAAGCCCAGGATGTCCTCTTTACAATACAGCAGGGATTGATAGAGTAGCTCAAAAGAATAAAACGAGATACATGTGAACGAAATGTCCAGTACACAGAACTCAAGTTAATAGGCTGGGTCTCAGGATGATCTAGTGCCAACATACACCGGTAACCTTAGAAACTCTAGATACCCCCCTTCTCTGAGACATCAGGTAATGCAGATTAAAACTTTTTTGTGTGTTTTATTGCTTTAATCAGAAATGCTTTTATACTTCTTAAAACACCTCTATTCCAAACTAATTTGTGAAACCTTTTAAGAGAAATCTAGGTATTGGGTTTACAATTTATGTGTTTTATAAAATGTTTATACCCAAACATGTTCTAGTTACATAGAGACTTAGGTGTATTCATTTAATCTTAACGGGACTCTATAGTCACCAGAACAACTACAGCTTATAGAATTTGTTCTGGTGAGGAGAATCATTACCTTCAGGCTTTTTTCTGTAAACCCGATCTTATCAGAGAAAATGTTTACATTACAGCTTAGTGATAACTTCACTGGCCACTCCTCAGATAACTGTTAGAGATCCTTCCTGGGTCATGGCTGCCTAAAATGCATCCAAACATTCAGTGTCTCCACCCTCTGCATGCAGACACTGAACTTTCCTCATAGAGATTCATTTATTCAATTCATCTCTATGAGGAGATGCTGATTGGCCAGGGCTGTGTTTGAATCATGCTGGCTCTGCCCCTGATCTGCCTCCTTGTCAGTCTCAGCCAATTCTATAGGGAAGCACCGTGATTGGATCAGGCTACCACTTCTGATGATGTCAGCAGACTGCTTATTTTTTTTTTTTTGAGGCAAACAGCATGCAGAGTTACAGCTTCTGGCTTGAATACAGTAAGATGTTGCTATATTTATGGAGGCACGAGGAGCTCAGGGGGGCTAGATGGTGGTTTTAACACTATAGGGTCAGGAATACATGTTTGTGTTACTGACCCTATAGTGATCCTTTAATAAAAAGGTATAAAATCCACCAGATTTCTTCATATTATTCTCCCCAGACTCCTGACTTTTTTGTTCATGTTATTAACCCCTTAAGGACCAAACTTCTGGAATAAAAGGGAATCATGACATGTCACACATGTCATGTATCCTTAAGGGGTTAAACGGCTTCTGGGCTACTCTTGCACAACTTGTTGGAGTGCCATATTATCTAATTCTTCTACACAGTCTTTCCCAAACCTGTCTTTATGGCCCACGGACAGTCCAGAATTTAAGTATTTTATTTTGATTTACAACAAAACCCTCAAATGTTGCTAGGTCACAGGGGCTGGTTTGGGAATTACTTTTCTATACTAATGTGATATCTGCCCTGTTGTGAATAACTCTTTTACTGCCCAATCCTGCTTCAAAAAAAAACAACAAAAAAAGATGCGTTCGTTGCAGCAAAAGCCACTTGGGAGATCCCTTTTCCTTCACAACCATCAAATGGATAAGCAGACACTCCAAGAAGGAAAACCTAATCTGGCTTTATAGCTTTGGCCTAAATAACTGGCTGTAGTATTTTCTTCTTTTTTTTTTTGTTTTTTTTTTTTTAAACACAACAAAAAACGATGGAACATTAAAATGCAGTAGTTTTTCATAGATTGTTGTGGATTTGTTTTGGTTTTGTATATATTTTCTCATCTATACATTGCTTTAAAATGCGTTTTGTTAAAGTTTAGGGAGAACCTACTACATATCCTAGGCTTTTTTTTTCTTCTAATCTTTCATTCCAACCCTTTTTGAAAATGTCAGACGTGTGGAGATGGCTGTTAGTGCACAACTGCAAAAGTGAGAAAGCAGGCAGGATTTGTGCACGGCATTTTCTTGCAACAATGTGTATGAGCTTGTGCAGGGACTACCAGTTGCTCATTTTCTCAATGTTCTCCAGGGTTAGACTAGCACACTGTAATATTTCCTGGTGGACCGAGTCTGGGGCCAAGCAGGCTGCCAGACAATAATGAACATGTATGATGTCCCTGGTGGTGTTAACCTGCATCTATTATGCATGAGCATAGTCTCATCTTGTAGTCATTTGTGGCAATAGGGTCACAGGAAACCGCTGTCTTTTAGCATGTACAGACCTCTGGTTGCTCTGTCATCCTGCACAGATCTCTGAGTGCGGTCGTTCTGTGTACTTTGTAATTGCCCCACAGGCCAAATGTTGCCCGACCTCTGCTGCTCTCATATTTTAGTGACTCACTCCTCCCACAATAAAAATATCTTTCTTCAGACTCCATCTAGTTTTCATTGTTCTATTTCTTCTCCTTATGGAGAATAGAAACAATATGTTGGCACTATGTTATTAATTTTAATAACAGATTTTCGGCTGTTACGGGATGGACTAAGCCATCAGTGACTGCTACCATGGTTTGCAAAGAAAGTGTGTAACTGTAGTGTCAGCAGGGAACAGGCAACACCGTCCTAGTTTGTGCAAACTACTAAACATCTGCAACATAATGAGCAAATTCATAATCATGAAAAGAGATCACACAAATCACATAACAGTTTTATTTGAGCCTCCAATACAAAAGCACAACAAAATCTGTTCATCACAGAAATATATTTACAGATCAAGCTAATTTTGCACAAGACAAACAAAGTCTATTAAAAGAAGACAAAAGAGGTTCACAACTATTTTCACTGCTATATAAAAAAATATACGCTTTCTTAATTTTCTGCACAAGAACAACATGAAGAAAAGAGCCAAATATTTTGAGCATTGTAGCAGACTCCAAACGAAATCACGTTAAAGAAGTAAGCAGGGTTATTCTATGCATCAGGAAGTTTAAATTTGAGGCCAGATAGCACATTTTGAAGGCCTCCAGACTTTTTTCCCCATCTGTATTTATTATTCCTTGGTTAAGTCTCTGTATATAACCCTGCTAGCATAGCCCAACAATGATTTGGAAACACTGACACTATAAAAAAAAAAGCTTTTTGAGGGGCAAAATAAAGCAACTTCAACCTTTTGAAATACTTTCATTATTTTGTAAACTTACACTTTGATATACTGGTGAACATTCTTTCAGGAAATGAACCATTAACTAGCTTTCATGCAAAAAGCCAGCAAAATAGTTTCCCTCTTCAAACTCTATTCACTTTGTATATGTGGAAATCGAATAAAATACACAACATTCAAACTGGTATACTAAAATTAACCATTTTACTTCCTTCTTTGAAAGGAAAATAAAATATACTGGAATGGCACATTTACCAAGACCATTTGGCTTGTTTTCTTAAATACAGCTGGGTGCTCCACCTAGTGGTAAATACTTTACTGACAATAATATAGTCATTATTTGTGGATTAACCATTTTAAGGTCATTTTTAAATAGGTATAATACGTATACATTATTTTTCAAATAAGAACTATATACATTAGATGTACTATGTGCGTTAGTCTTCTAGGAGACAAAATTAACTCCTCATGGGCTATCCATTTACTTGCAATCTGCAGCAAAAGTCCTTCTCAAAAGAATCAACAGATGTGATATCAATTAAGTTTAAGATGTGCCCATTAGCAGCCACATTGCAGATACAAAAGACGCATGTATAGCAATGCTTGCCATTCAAACAGATCTGATATCCCCTGGAAATAAAATACTGAAGACCATTTGAACACAACCAAAATACTATGTCGAGGCTTTACAAAAAAAGAAAAACCACATTAAAATGTACCTCCAGATAAAAAAAAAAAAAAAAAAAAAAAAAAAAAAAAAAAAAAAAATATGAACAATGGGATTAAATACTGCTGAATGGCTTTCACAAGATAATGTACTATTCTAAGGATTTTTTTTTTTACCTGTTAGTTTTATGTTGAACATCAAAACACCAGTATAAAAATATTTAAAACTATCAGTCTAAAAGGAGCCCACTGTCAAACAGCCGCATCGGTCTATTCTGATCTCTTTCTTTGTTAGTTGTCAGAGGCAGAGTCATCACTGCTGTGTTTGTTGGTCTCGTTTCCTTTAGATCCACTCAGGCTACTGTACGGGAAAAAGAAAAACAAAAATAAACATGTTAAAAAGCTAATCTGATGGGAGGAAGGTTGTTGCACATAAAGGAGGTATTTATACTCATATAATCATGCCGTGAATACGAAAATATTTTGGGAATGAGAGAGCGTAATCTGTCCTGGTTGGTTAGGATCCTAAATAAACTACACGCATAAAATTTAAAAAGTTTAATAGATATACTTAAAGGTTGAGTATCCTTAGAACACAGGGATACAGGGGATTAGAAGAATATATACAGAAAAGAGGTAGTACAGAGTGAGAAATACCTTTTCAAGTGCTGGTAAGGCTAATAGATACTTAGTTACTTTGTTTCAGTCACTGACCTTATTACTATCTGAAAGTATATATATATATATATATATATATATATATATATATAATAGTAACAATAGTAGGAAAGGTAAGTATCTCTTAAGTTACAAAAATAGAAGGTAGAGGGAGAAAGGGGAGATCACCTAAATGTCTAGTTTGGTGAAACCTAACTACTTGTGAAATCCTTTCTCAACCCTCTAAAAAAAAATAAAAAAAAACAACCAAGAATAGTTTTGCATATAGTTATAACATGTGATCTGTGGTATAAACTAGGGCATCCAAGCTTAGAGGGCTAACTTGAAAAAATAGCTTGTGCTGATTAGTAAGTATCATGCAGTGAAGCCCCGATCTATATAACAGTTAATTGTGATGTCCG